CACACACACATATAAACACACACAGCAGCTGAAATAATGTCCATAGCCCTCAGGGCTCCAGCTTTACGCAACCTTCACCTTAAATTCACCTCCTCCTGCTCTGTCTATATTGTTCTCTTTGTTTATTTAATATTTCCATATTTCTGTATAAATCATAATGCAGGGCACATTGCCTGTAGGAAACATAAAGCTAATCAGATCTGATTTTAGTAACAGTAAAGATATTTTATATTTTTTATATTAAACGTATCTGGAGATACATGCTTTATCTCTTTTATTGATATGTTTAGGCCACTCACTTGGTAAAGGTTAGGAAGTGAATTTAAAAAAAGTATACATTGACTTGAAATCAATTCAAAGTCAAATTGATATATATAGTAGCCCTGAAACCTGACTCATTTTGTGGTGTTATACAGCGGCAAGCTCAGTCAGTACAGCGTGAAACTCTTAATCTCAGGGTCATGTTGGGCGATGGTGGAACTCATTCACCAAATCACTCTCCCTTGGAACTGGATGGATGCGTGGATTGAGACAGACTTCATGTTCTGCTAACAGCACCAACAAATACAACATGAAAAGTTCAGGCACATATTTAATTAGAAAAGGACTAAACGTTTAAGGTGTAACAACTGCCGTCTTCATTATCTATATACTTTTGCTGTGGGGTGTGAGGAGAGTTGATCCAGAAACTCAAACTTCTGCCCTTCTAAGTATTCTCAGTTCGGTCTATATCACAAATTTGCCTCAAGGGGCTTTACAGTCTGTATAGCATATGACACCCTCTATCCTTAGACTCTCAATTCACATAAGGAAGAGCAACCAAGGAGGAATCCCTCTTCCACTGAAGCACATAATGGGACACCTTGACTTTTTTAATATTTAACCGACACTAACCAATTATTTTGTTAGCCTAAACCCACCTATGTACATGTGGGTGGCAGGAGTTGAACTTCTCTGGTCCAAGTCCTGTTCTTTGAATGCCAAATCATCCACCATGACCTCCTGCCTGTGGCTTTTGTGTATAATAAGGATGTCACAGATCCTGGATGGGGGAAGAAAAACCACTGAATGTGATTCAGGCAGCAGTGCCATAAATTTCCACCAATTCCAGTTCCTCCATACCATATTTGGCAAAGGAAATTAGCAGCATATGAATATATTGTGTATAAAATAAGGTTGTTCTTTCCACATTTGCCTTTTCCTTTTCACCTCATATTCTGTCTCCCTTTCTCTTCTTTTTCTGACTCTCCTCTCTTCTAGTCTTTTTTTACTCAAATCTCCTCCTCTTCCTCCTTATGTCTCCTCTTCCACCTCTTCCTCCTCCTCGTCTCCTAGCTCTCCATGACCAATGCAAGAGCCTCATAAAGACCCTTAGGAGTCAGAGGATTTCATGGGGCTTTGTGTTTGAGTGTGTGTGTGTGTGTGTGTGTGTGTGTGTGAGTGAGTGAGTGGAAGACAGCACATGTGGCATGCAAGGTCACGTAATCCTGTGGCCTCCAGATACTGTTATTGACACACACATAGCGCTCCATGACCTGCACTGCCCTTGCATGCACAGATTGTGCATGAACACGCACACACAGATGTCCTCGTGCAACCCACAATGCCCTCAGTGTTATCAAGAATACAAACAGTAAAACAGTAACTTTCTGGTTAAAACTGGACTTGAATTCTATAACTCGGAGTACTTTTTAAAAGAATTGGGCTGGTGATAATCTATATTTTTTATTATTGTCAACAAATTGAACAAAAAGACCAAAACCAAGAATGAATTGATCCTACAAACAAGTACTGCCTGTGTAGCCAAAGCCTCATACAGCTTATTCATCTGAGCTCCATTATTGTCCAAAATCTATTAAAAACACATCAGTGAGCCACACTGTTGCCCTAGGTGACATATTTCTT